GGACCCTCACTGTCAAGAAATTTTTCCGTAAGTTCCCGTGGAACTTTTGGTGCTTTAGTCTGTGGCCGTTTCCTCTAGTTCTGTTGGTGGCCACCACTGCGAAGAGGCCTCCCCATCCTCCTCACTCCCTCCTTTGAGGTATTTATATAGCTTGCTTTTTCCCCAGAAATGAAAATGTTTTAGTGCTATGTCAGTTGACTTATAAATTCAATTTCTGAATTCAGAGAAAGTACATCTTGGGAGCAGTTTAAATTGTAAGACTTCATATGCACTCAGCTGTGTTTATACATCTCATTGAAGTTAATGAGGAGAAGTTAAAGCTTTCATCAGAGAGCAAAGTTTAGTCTGTCTTGTCTTTAAGTTAAATTAAAACCAGTGAAACAAAATGGTTTTTATCACTTATTCTGTACTGCAAATGCACTTTTTCTAAGGACTAGAGAATCCAAATTAACTAAGTGACTACACCCCTTTTTGTAAAAAAAGAAAGTATTTTTTCTTAACTGATTATCAAAATTTACATCTAGAAAACAATTATATTTAAAAGCAGAGAATGTCTTCATGAATTTTAGGAAATTTTTGTCTAAAATACATAGCATCAGTTGTGTGTTCGCCCTGAGAAAGTTAAATTCATTTAAAATATATCTTCCACATGTTGAGACTTTAGCAGTGGTTTTTATTTTATTTTTTACAGGATGTGGTGAAAACAAATGATACATCTATTCCTAAAGTTGCTAGAAGAGGAAGAAAAAGAAAGGTAACTGTTTAGTTACTTTTTCTTATTGGAGTTTGGACACAATGATTTTGGGTTTTCTGTTATCTTCAGTGACAAATTAAGCTCAAATTAAGATGTTTGCCTTTTTGTTTCCTTTCTTCTTTCAAATAGCTGGAAAATCTGTGGGAATGAACCTTATTGCTAGAGGCTGTTTTACTACTTGTAGTATGGGCGGAACTAAACACAGAGCCAGCAGCTCCCATCTTTTCCCAAATACCTCAGTGTGAGGAAGAAACTTCATTATCACAGAATCACAGAATATTCAAGGTTGGAAGGGACCTCTAGAAATCATTTAGTCCAACCTTCCTGCTCAAGCAGGCACACCCAGAGCATGTGGCACAGGGTGGCATCCAGGCGGGTTTGGAAGACCTTCGGAGAAGGAGACTCCACTGCCTTCCTGGGCAGCCTGTGCCAGGGCTCTGGCACCCTCACAGTAAAGAAGTTCCTGCTCACCTGGAAATGGAACTTCCTGTGCGGCAGCTTATGCCCATTTCCACTCGTCCTGTCACTGGCCACCAGTGAAAACAGCCTGTCCCCTTCTTCCCAGCATTCTCCCTTCCTGAACTTATGCACGTTAATCAGATCCCCTCTCAGCCCTCTCTTCTCCAGAGAAAACAGGCCCAACTCAGTCTCTCCTCATATGAGAGATATTCCATTCCCTTAATCATCTTAGTTGCTCTCCAAAGAGAGCAACCTCGTGAAGACAACTACGTGAAGACAAACTATTAAACTGTTAAACCACCAAAAAAAGATCTCTTTAGAGATTAAATAAATACTSYRSAGTATTTATTTAACATCTTCACTGCCTTAAATCTAGCACTTAAAACAATCTTGCTTTTCGTGAGGCTGTTCTTTTTGATCTATACTAGGTTGAAGAGATCAATACAAATACATAAAGCTGTTTAGATGCAAGAAATCCCCTTTGCTTGTTCAGCTTGTTGCAGCATATAATGTTACTGCAGCCATGCCTAGCACACCAAGGCACTGACCAAGCTGAAAGACAGATYGAAGTGAGGCAAAGTATTATTTCAATTTTGAACCATTTCCTGCTTTAACTTGTTACAAGGAGTGCATGAAAAGGAGTTAACTGTAACAGTAGTGCATTGTGCACACTGCTGTGATCAGCTGCTGATGCTTTTTGTCTTTTTTTTGTTCTTTTTACAAAAATGAAACTCTAAAACCTATTTTGAAACGCTAAAAACTATTGCCTAAAGATTAAGTTATATATATTTTTTTTAATCAAATCTGTATAAAAATGAACCTCACATGAGTGGCATCGGCAGAATGTATGTGAATGTGCATTCATGTGCCTTTAGCTTGTAACAGAGACAAGAACTTCTAAGATAACTCTCCAAAAAAGGCTTTTTGTTCTCGACCTTTTTTCTAAATCACTCTCATTTTCTGATTTTCGGCAGTAGAAGAGCATCCAGACCCAAGAAGACTTCCTGTGTCATGTAGTAGTAGCTTGAGTTGGCAGGCTTCTGTGTGGCACACAACACATGTATCAAGGGTTCATCAGAAACTGGCTGTGCTACGGGTTATTGCTGAATAAAATAACATGATATTTCAAGACATGCAGTGCTTGTTGRTTGCAACAAGGGATTGCTTAGAGASTCACTCAGCCTTGCACACATTCTGTAACTGCCTAAAAAGCAAATATGATGTTTTGTTCACAGATTGTAGAAAAATACTGTAACAGGTATTTTTTGGATCTCATTAAAACCATTCACCTATAGGTTAATAGAAAACAATTATAGTAATTAGTTTTTGGGGGGTTGTTTTGGTTTGTGGAGGGAGGTGTACTGTTTTTGTTTTAAAATAGCTATTTCTTATTGGTGGCCACAGTAAATATTAGTAAGATAAATATTTATTTGCCCATTTTGTTTCTAGTTGCTTCTGCCTTCAGGACACTTAATGTCCATGAATATTTGCTCCGGACATTATTTTTCTGCATTCTTCTTATCTGCATTTATGGAATGTTTTTGGGGAGACAAACATGTATGTTCTGTAAGGATCAACTGTCATAGGTTCTATTTTGATTTCCAACCCGTAAAATGAGAGTGTATTTGAAGTTCACTGTCTCCTGTTAGTGTAGTTTGGCACATGCTGTTTTCTGTTCATGTTCGCTTTTTTTGTGTTTTTCCTGAATGACTCCATCTACTGGTATGACATAGTGAAGCTGTACAGAGATGATAGCATCTGAAATTTACCAACATTAAAAATGTTTTCTGGCATGCTATTATGGTGAGCTTAAAAATGCTCGTGTAATCTCTTTTTCTATTTTTACATATTTTTCTGAAGTTSAATATGCTGTATTAAAATAGCAGAAAAGTAATACTGTATGAATTGGTCATGATGCAAACTAGTGTGGAGAGTGAGTGACATAGAAGTATAATATGTTGTTAAACTTGAGAATTCTTACTGTTTCGTATTTGGGAAAAAAAAAAGAAAAAAGATAATGTTTTTTAGTAGCACTTAAAAATTGAGGAGTAGGTGCCCTGTAGTTTTCACTTGTGGATTGCACTTTTTAAATTAGGCGGAGAAACAAGCTGAAGCTGAAGAAACAGTAGTGCCAACAGCAGCAGCAGTGGCAGCAGCAGCAGCTGCTGTAGCAGTGGCTCCAAAAGTAAGCCCCAAAAGAGGAAGGCCAGCAGGTAACTTGAAAAGTTGAATTTGGCGGGCTTTTTTTTTTTTTTTTCACCTCAAAGATATATTAATGAAAGTACTCAGAGAATATACAGTCCAACTCTAAATTACTACAAAATAACTGTGGTTATTTGTAGCACTGAAATCAATTTTGTGTTAATGGAGTATAAAAATAAAACATCTACCACCTCAAACTGAGCCGTCAGAATAAGTTCCGTCGTGTTTGTGTATGTGTCCCCTTTAGAAAAACTTCGTAGAATATCCCTATGTTACAGAATATGCAGTAAGAGCTCTTTGTACACTGTTGTTACTCCATAAAGGTTTTTATTCATCAAAGGAGAATGAAATTAACAGTTAAATTAYGTATGAATATATATAAAACATTAAGCAAGAAAAGCTGAGGTGAGGAGTACGATGCCTGTAGATGGAGCTCAGAGAACAAGRAAAACAAGTATGGAGCTGGAGAGGCTTACGTAAGAATAAGGTTTAAAAGCAATCTATGTCGATTGATCAAATACCCAGGAACTACAATGACTGTTTAAAACAGTATAATTTGAACCATTTGCTAATAAATCTGCAGTGCTGATTTTCAAATAACAATGATCTAATAGTTAAGACATTATACTCTGTTTCTCTTGACTCTGTGAAAGTAACTTAAAAGGAAGTTAAATAGACGTAATTACATTAGCCTTGGAACTGTGAGGAAACAGCTTTAGTCTTCCACACAGTTTCACTGCATTTACTATCTGTATTTTTTTTTTTTCTTTTTTCTTTTTTCTTTCAATATAATCAAAATTCATTTAATTGCTGGTTATAAAGCAGGACAGGATCCGAAGAAATGCTTTCTCCTCATGTAGAAAACATATTATTGGAAGATGTAGCATTATCTAGTGTTTCCATGATGGATGCATCTCGTGCTTAGCAGAGCTATATGCTAACACCAACAAAAATTCAGATACTGAATATTGTTTCCTGACCACATGTTCACTGTGTTATCATACAAGCACTTTCTTGACTTTTCATCTGTAAAAGTAGTGTACTAAGTATTTTTGTTTTGCAGAATTGAAGGTATAAATGTCAAGAAGGCATATACAGTATTTATCTTTAATACTGATGAATCTGAGGAAACACAGATTTTACTGTATACTATACTGTGACGGTATATACTTTCTCTGACAAAGAATGATAGAACGTCTACAGTATTTCTAAGAATACTGTCAGTAAACATGCTAAATATAGACTGCACACTAAAAWTTCCCACTTATTTCTGGTTCCCAAATTTCAGACTTGTTTGTATTAGCGATGCAGCATTTGAATTGATGCTTAAGTGCACAGAGAAGTAGAAAAAAATCAAAGTAGGTTAAGAATGTGGTTTAAGCTACTAAAGTATAGAGTAACATTTTTTTTCAAAGAGATCATGCTAAAACTTTTGATACATGTTTGTAACTTTTTTTATTATTACTATTTTTATTTTTTACAGTAACACAGTAGATACTGAAATTCAGGTATCACTTCTGTCTTTTGAGTAAGAATCAGTACTCACAGGCAGGGAATAGAGAGTGACTTTAGACTAACCTGTTCTTTCTATATAAATACTAGCTTCTGAAGTAAAGATTCCAAAACCAAGAGGGAGACCCAAATTGGTGAAACCACCTTGTCCTTCAGAGAGTGACATGTAAGTYGTTGGCTTTTGGGGTTGTCTGTTGTTTTTAACATAAAAATTCTTCATCGGAAACCAAATAGCCACTTCTGGGCAACTTAGTTGCTGACTTCTTGACATATTTGTCCTGTAGTATGAGTTACTGTTTGCTTGTTTTACAGTTCAGGCAATTAAGACATGGTAGCTGTCAGTTAGTACAATTTTGGAACAAGAGAGAGAAGATCTTAACCTTTTTAATTTGTAAAATCTGCAAAAGTYCTTGCAAATCTGTAACATTATGCTACTTGTATCAAAGAATGTGTAAAAAGAAATATTAGTAAAGAGGAAAGAAAAGATGCAAAGTGAAGCAAAATTCAAGTTGTCTAATATTTTTGGTTTACACATCTCTGCCAAGTGAGTTCCAACTCTSTTACTGGTACTGAAACTGCATTTTCATGTTGCTTAGTTTTCATGACAAGGTCTTACAGTTTTTAGTAACTGAGGGACAAGTTGAACATGGGCACTTTTGACAGGCTAACAAATGTGTACTTTACATATAAACCTTAAATTAGTTTCCAGGTTCACACTGCTAAATAGTCCTTGGTCTTACAAACACTCATGCATATGAAGAGCATCTGAACATTAACTTCTGGTGGAGGTTTTGGTTTTATGCAGATAATTCGGTTTCATAGGAAACTCCATACTGTTATTATTGTATTTCTCTTTTACATAGGTAATAGGTAGGTAATAGAAAAAGACTGTTTTTTTCAAAGMATCTTTAAAGAATCAACAGTGAGCTAACTTCGTACCTTACAGTTCTATAGTTGAAAAAAAAGACCCAAATTAAAAGAATGTGATTGTTCATAAAATATTTATGTTTTAGTGTTAATGAAGAAGAGAAAGTGAAGAAAAAAGGACCAGAAGAAAAATCCAAGAAGCAAGGGAAAAAAGATGAGGAGAATCAGAAGGAAGAAGAAAAAACAAAGAAGGAATTTGACAAAAAAGAAGGAAAGAAGGAAGCTGAAGCAAAGAGGAAAAATGCTGGGAAAGTTGGCTCTGTCTCAGCATCTGATTCAGAAGAAGAGGGAGATGAACAAGAAGGTGACAAGGTATATTTCACTTTTTTTTTTTTTTTTGGGGGTTGTTCTTTTTCCCCTTGAGGAAAGCTGCACACAGATTCACGGAATGGTTGAGGTTGGAAGGGACCTCTGGACATCATCTAGTCCAATGTTCCTGCAGGTCGCCCACAGCATGTTGCCCAGGACCGCATCCAGGTGGGTTGGGAAGATCTCCAGAGAAGGAGACTCCACAGCCTCCCTGGGCAGCCTGTGCCAGGGCTCTGGCACCCTCGCAGTGGAGAAGTTCTTCCTCACATGGAGGTGGAACTGCCTGTGCTTCARCTTACACCCATTGCCCCTTCTCCTGTCACTGGCCACCACTGAGAAGAGTTTGGCCCTGTCCTCCCTACGTTCTACCCTCAGGTACTTACACATAGTGGTCAGATCTCCTCTCAGCCTTCTCCAGAGAAAACAGGCCCAGCTCACTCAGTCTTTCCTCGAAAGTATGAGAGAAGCTGCAGTCCCTTAATCATCTGTGCTGTCCTCCACTAGTTCACTGGAGGTGTTTCTGAAGCTAATACTGGTTCTTTTGCGTAGTCCTGCTTGGACTTATATAGTCCAGCTGGCCTATATAGACATGTAGAGTAGAAGGTTGCAGGACTCCTGTCTGTCAGATGGTTCCTTGAGTAAGTTTTTGGTGTTTGCAAGATAAGCACTTCTTTTTTCTTTTTTTTAAAGAAAAGAAAATCCAATCTGAAGATGGATTTAAAGGTGACAGTCACTTATTTTGTTAGAATTTTTTTTCCCCACATTTACTTTTTTGAATGCATGCACATAATTTTTTCAGAGAATGTTTCTAAGGGAGTCGTTGGCTTTTTTGGAATACGTTTTTGGAAGTTACAGAGCTGTCCCTAGCCAGTCATTTAGAGAGTCTGGATTTTTTTTTTTCCTTTATTTAGCTCTATGGGGTTTTTGTTTATTTATTTTTGTTTTTAAACGTGGGACAGGGAAAAGGGAGAAGGCAATATTATCAGTCAAGAATTACAATTATGTGCAGGTAGTGTACTTAGTCGCAGGGAAAGCCCTGTCCTGCCAGATCCATCTGTGGACCAGATATCTAGATGGAGCAGCATTGCTTGTTTATGTTGTCAATGATTTAATAGCCTTGCTTTTTAATAGTCTGAAAAAACCTCTCTCTTTGCTCTTTCAATCCTAAAATCCTACATAAAAACAGAAGAAGAAAGGAGGAAGAAGCTTTCAGGCATCTCACAGAAGAAATATTATGAGAGGCCAGCATGAGAGAGAAGCAACAGAAAGAAAACGTAAGCAGGAGGAACAGATGGAATCTGAGCTGTGAGTATATTTTTATATATAATGTTTGCAAGTTGCAGGCATACTGGAGAACCAATAGGAGGAAGCAATMTGAAAAGAATTCACTGTAGTTTGCAGAATCTGAAAAGAATTCACTGTAGTTTGCAGTACGTTCTGTTGTTCTCTCCCCACACTGTTTTTCATCTAGCACTATTTGCCCTCTTCTAAGGTCAGAGTAAAAAGCTCCTCTTAACTAATATGTACTATTGTGGGAAGATGGCAAGAATGAAACCTAATGGAAGGTTAAAGCGATATCAGTTTTTCAGTGACATAGAATTTCTAGTGCTAGGACAACTGGTGAGTTCTCTTGAAGTACCATTTTTCAGCACAGCCATTTGTTTTACCTTAAGTCTAAAATACATTAGAGAGACTGGTAGGATTTATTAGTCCTTTATTGCTTTGGWTTTTTGGTTAGACTGAAATGCCTAGGGTTCCCTCAAACTCTTTCCGTCTGTGTCTGGCAGCTGGAGCATACACTGTCAGACAGAACAAGGGAAAAATTAAGGCTCATGCTACTCTGGTGCTTCAAGGCCAGTTGGGTGATATCAAGAGCAGTCTGCATGCAGAAGATAAGCTATCACAAATGAATCGTGAGCATGGAGAGAAGATCTTTCCAGAAGCTAAGAGAGGGTTGGGACTGTAGGAAGAAATCTGCCCCATTCTCAAGAGCTGTTCTGCAAATGGATGGAGAAGCTGCCACTGCAAGGGCATATTGCTCCCATCTCCACAATTGGTGGGGGGCAGAAGAAAGGGAGAATAAAGTAAAATTTCTGAGAAATAGGAGAAGGATAATGTCCTTTTCACTTAAAACAACAAATTTCTAACATCTTCCCATATATTAACAAAAAAATTAGTTTGGGGCTTTTATCCTCTAGCCCTTTCTTCCCTTTCTGTCATTCCTTCCTTCCCTGGAAACCCTTTTGTTTTTGTTTTCTTCTGCCTGTATCAAATCWAAGCATTTCCAACTGAAAGAATTGCTAAAGACTAAATTGACTTTACCTTTTTTGTTGCTCTTAATGTATCACTATTTAAATCTGACACCTGCTGATGGATTTATGTGGTAAAATATCACATATTGGTTTGATTATACTAATTAAATCTCATTTTACTTTTAAATAACTTTCATATTTCATGCATTGAAGAGCAGATAGAGTTTTATTTCAGCAAAATAAAACCAGCTGTTTTCTTACTGACTTCATAGCTTTGATTTTGGCTGATTATTAAGCACAAAACTTAATACTGATTAAAAGTGTAGACTTTTTTTCCTATTGTACTGCCTGCCTCCAAGTTCCTATGTTAACATGCTGAATATAGGATGGATTTTGTTTTTTTGTTTAGCTCATCACTTTAATCTCCATTTTCTAGTCTTTGTGACTACTTCGTTAGTATTAATATTTATATAAGCCTAATAGTGCCATGTGCAAAAGCTGTGGAAAACTTTTTTTTTTTGAGGGTCATGAGTCTATGCAGTTGCCAACTGAAGTAAAAAATGTTTGAAAATCTCTGATTGTGTAATTGCGTAGGAAAAGAAAGGAACATAGGAGATGTCACATCTACRGGACTGATTTGTATTGTCATGACAAGAAGAAAATTGCAAAATATTTAATCATAACATACTGAATTAGGTAAATTGTAAAGTGAAGTTTTTGAAATTCTTTAGTTAGACAAGATAGAGGAGTTGCTAAACAGCACCTCATAATCTTTCATGAACAAAGAGGTAAAAAACTTGTTTGAAAGGCTTTTAGCATATTTGTGTTCCTCTAAGGTGGAACAGAGCTTTTCATTTTCCTGTTTTTTTTCTGAGCCCTTGTGCACCCCATAGTGCTGCATGATCTGGCAGACATTATAGCTAAGCCACTTGCCATCATCTTCAAAAGGTCCTGRAGAATGGGGGAGGTGCCTGAGAACTGGAAGAAAGCCAACATCATGCCAGTCATCAGAAAGGGCAAGAAGGAGGACCTGGGCAGCTACAGGCCAGTGAGCCTCACCTCCATCCCTGGAAAAGTGATGGAGCAGCTCATCCTGGCTGCTGTCCTTAGGTGCATGGAGGACAAACAGGTGCTCAAGAGTAGCCAGCATGGGTTCACTAAGGGGAAATCCTGCTTGACTAACCTGATCGCCTCCTGTGATGGAGTGACTGGCTGGATAAATGAGGACAGAGCAGTGGGTGTCGTCTGTCTGGACTTGAGCAAGGCTTTTGACACTGTCCTTCACAKCATCCTCCTGGGCARGCTCCGAAGGTGTGGGATAGATGAGTAGACAGTGAGGTGGATTGAGAACTGKCTGYRGGGCAGAGCTCAGAGCGATACGATCAGCTGTGCAGAGTCCAGTTGGAGACCTGTAGTTAGCAGCGTCCCCCAGGGGTCAGTCCTCCGTCCRGTCCTGTTCAACTTATTCGTTAACGAGCTGGATGAAGGGCTGGAGTGCTCCCTCAGCAAGTTTGCTGGTGATACCAAACTGGGAGGAGTAGCTKAYAGCCCTGAGGGCTGTGCTGCCATCCAGAGGGACCTGGACAGAMTGGASGACTGGGCRGYGAGAAACCTCATGARGKTCAACARGGGCAAGTGCAGGGTCCTGCACTTGGGGAGGAATAACCCTGGACACCAGTACAGATTAGGGGTKGACCTGCTGGAGAGCAGCCCCGCACAGAGGGACCTGAGCATCGTGGTGGATGACAAGCTGAGGCCAAGAAGGCCAACRGGATCCTGGGGTGCATTAAGAAGAGCGTCTCCAGCAGGTCGAGGAGGGGGATTGTCCCCGTCTACACAGCCCTGGTGAGGCCACATCTGGAGACTGTGTCCAGTTCTGGGCTCCCCAGGACAAGAGGGATGTGGAGCTGCTGGAGAGAGTCCARCGCAGGGCTACCAGGATGATCAGGGGCCTGGAACATCTGCCCTGTGAGCAAAGGCTGAGAGAGCTGGGCCTGTTCAGCCTGGAGAAGAGAAGGCTGAGGGGGGACCTGATCAGTGTCTATAAACACCTCAAGGGAGGCAGTGAGGAGGAGGGGGGCGGCCTCTTTTCAGTGGTGGCCAGCAACAGGACTAGAGGAAACAGCTACAAACTGAAGCACCAAAAGTTCTGCAGGAACTTAAGAAAAAATTTCTTGACAGTGAGGGTGMCAGAGCCCTGGCACAGGCTGCCCAGGGAGGCTGTGGAGTCTCCTTCTCTGGAGATCTTCCCAACCCGCCTGCATGCCGCCCTGTGCCCCGTGCTCTGGGTGTCCCTGCTGGAGCAGGGGATTGGACTAGATGGTCTCTAGAGGTCCCTTCCAACCTCAACCAGTCTGTGATTATTAGTGAGGAAGTTGGAGAAATGGCCAAAAGARTTTGTTATATTTGTAATAAACTTTTCTCTAGTTTAAATATTCCTGAAGGAAATAATATTCTTTGTTCCATTGCAATCAATTGTAGGATGTTTAGCTGTTAGTTACATGAGAAACTAAGTCGCACAGAATTGATTCAAGAAAAATCAATTGTTTTCTGTGATATCTCACGGTAAATTTAAATCGCTTTCAACACAATGTAGTTTTACAAACTTTGCATCCAACCGAAATACATAATGCAATTTATAAATATGTATTGTTTTTAAAATACTGTAATTGATTGCTTCTAGGAAAAAGAAGTCTGTCAGGATGTGAAAATTTATTTTCTGCAGTATCTTAGATGAATGTATCAATTTCATTAATTTCAGTATTTGAAAATCAGGATTTGACTGTTATGTTTCAACATGTTGATGTTTGGTTGAGACGGTGTCTGAAACATTGCATCTCATAAAGAATTAAAGAAGATGGAGGAATATAGTTTAAGAGACAATATTGTAAAAAAACTTTAATATTTTCAATAGGCAGAGTAAAGAAGAAGGCAAGAGACCAGAAGTTAGGAAGACGGAGAAGAAGAGAGGTTAGTTTAAAGAACCTAAAGAGATATTTTTGGTTATGTTAAATTTTGAATGAAAATACTTACTGGATAAGCTAACTTACTGTTTAGGTGGGGAAGAGGGGTGGAGTTCTCAGTCCAGAAAATTTGGCTCCTTCTCTTGGCTCCTTCCTTCAGATCTGTGAAGTTGCACCTTCTATTTCTGCATTTCCTTCAGTTCTTTAGAACAAGCTTTCTCTATTCCCATTTCATTGTCATTAAAGCTTTTAGACCTTTCCAGGTGATCGCTTCTGGTGGTGAATCACTTTAGTTCTTTCTTTTCACTTTTGTCTTTATTAGTTCTTCTCATTTATTTCTCATATATTTTCATGCTCATTCTTTTTTTCTCTCCTTTCTATTTAGTGAATCTTAACTTTTCATGTAATTGGTAAATCGAGGGTAACAGCTGGATGTTACAGAAAATTTCAAAAATTTCAACTGTAACTCCTGAGGAGAAAACTATATAGGTTACTAGTAGTGTCCAGTTGAATAAAAAGCTAGATAAACATTAGGCATATTCAAAAATAGAATACTATTGAGTGCTGTTGTTATCTGATGTGGTTTGTCTGTCCATGTTTTCTCATTCTTGTGTCAAGTTCATATTTGCAGAAAGATTTCTGCAAAAACAAACTTTATATGATGAACAAATACCCGTGTATGTTTTTAATTTTTAGAAACATCGATGGATTCCAGGCTTCAAAGGATACATGCAGAAATTAAAAATTCACTGAAAATTGATAATCTTGTAAGTATTTTTTTAAACTAGTGTATTTGTACTGGAAACACTTTTGGCATGCATGTTTCTCTTAATTCGCTTTCTGAGGAGGAAAATAATTTCTTCAGTTTGAAAAATAACTATAGTGCTTAAAAGAGAGTGCTGCAAACACTAAATTATATGTTTTTAAAATGTGCATTTGCTTAAAAATACTTGATAATTATTTATCAGCAACATTAGGACAAAATTCAGCCACATGAAGCGTCTGTGCGAGCTGAGTCTGGGCCATGCGGAGGTGCCGGGAGGAAGCAGCGCACTTCGGTAGCTGCTGTGGTGGCAGAGTGCTAACTCAGCCTGTTGTCTTGGCAGGCTTGCTGCCTCCTCCTGCATGTATTCAGGACACTGATGGAGCTTGTCCAGTGCCCAGGCTATGGTCTGTTGCTGCTCTCCTGCATGGCACAAGGATATGGCCAGGGTGTTGTCACCAGGGAAGTGTCAGGTGCTCTGTGTGGCCCTTGCCAAGGTGTAGGGGCCCACCTGGTAGTCTCCGTTTTGTGTGCGAGAGGGAGGGGGTTTGTGAAGGACCAGACAAGCTCCATGGACAAAGAGTTRTTTGTGCAGCTGGTGTCAGCAACAGGGCTTTAAGTGTTTATGGCAACAAGGCCATCTGAGGGGATCAAAGAGTACTTGGAAAAGATGAGGTCCATCTGAGTAAGTAAGTGTGGCAGAAGTACTTTGCCAGCAGTCTGATCAGCCTGGTGGGAAGAATTTTAAACCAGGATCTGCAAGAGAGGATGAACAAAGATGGAGTGAGGAAGTACCAAGGCGACTGCATTATGGGGACGGCTGTACAACCATATCTTGGAAATGAGCATGGTGGGGCACCTCTCTGAAGTGCAGGAGTTATTTGCAGGGCTGYAATGTCATTGGGATCGCAGATGTGATGGGCTAGCTCACACAGCCAGAGTGCTGCACTGGATGGTTACTGGCTCTGTCGGAAGGACAGTCCAGGAAGGCAACGAGGGCAGCGGGGAAGCGTGTACCCTGGATGAGCAGTCTGAGATGGATGAGCAGTCTGAGATGGATGAGCAGTCTGAGAGTTGCAAATCAGCCTTAGCAGGCAGTGCTACAACATGAGTGATACTGTGGGTGTCTGCTACTGGGCACCTGATCAGGAAGAAGATCAAGCCCTCAGACAGAATAATCCTGAGATTCATGGGCTATGGCCCTTGTGGGGAAATTGAACTATCCCAGGATTGACTGAAGGGGCAACACAGTCATTTATAAGCAGTGCAGGAGGGTTTTGGGATGCATCCATGATAACTTCCCAGCACAGACAACCAAGGAGCCAACAGGGACACACAGTCTGCTGGGCCTCATACATACAAGGAAGAACTGTTTGAAACTGCCAAGGTCAGGACAGTGATTGCAGTTTTAGTGACCATGACATGGTAGAATTTAGGATCTTCAAAGGAGGGAATAAAGCAAGTAGCAGAATCATAGTCCTGGAATACAGAAGAACAGATTTTATAATAGAGGTACTTCAGGGGATGAAAACTTTTGAAGAGGTCTTATATTAACATAACTGAATAAAATGAATAATTTACCTTTCACCGCCCCATTTCTTTTTCATGTATTGACTTTCTTTGATAACATATACTGAAATTTCAAGAGCAGCGTGAAGCTTGAGGCTGTATAAAAATGTTAGTATAAAAATGTATACATTTTTAAATTTTAAAGAAACAGTATAAAAATGTTAGAGTTATTCAAATAGCGTGTGTTTTTAGCACGGTTATAGTTAAGTGCATCTGGTGTTAAGCTTTGTTTGCAAGTTTGATTTGTATATTCTATACAATTATTCAATAGTAATAATTATACAAATATTCTATAGTCTATATTGTATATATACACTGTGTATATTGTTCTGAACTTAAGTACATAGTCAAGGATATTATATGAAAATACAGTGAGTATAGAAATTAGTTAAGGACTTCATTAGCCAGTATAAGAGGCAACCCCTTAGCCGTAGCATTTACACTAACCCTTCAAAGTAACAACTTATTTATTTACAGGATGTGAACAGATGTATTGAGGCTCTTGACGAACTTGCATCCCTTCAAGTCACAATGCAGCAAGCTCAGAAGCATACAGAGATGATTTTGACCCTAAAGAAGGTGAGATCTATAACGTTAATCAAAATTCAAAAAGTAAACAGGTATTAATTATATTGTATTTATTTACCACTTTACAGTGTGTAAAAGTCCATAATCTCATTTCAGCTTTTAGCTAAATAAAGAATTTCATCCAACACCTCATGAAAGTACATTGGTATGTAAATGGAGCTGATTGTTTTTACTATTTTGGTTTTAGATACGGAAATTCAAAGTTAGCCAGGTTATCATGGAGAAATCTACAATGCTGTACAACAAGTTCAAGACCATGTTTCTAGTTGGTGAAGGAGATTCTGTTCTCTCCCAAGTACTGAATAAGTCACTTGCTGAGCAGAAGCAGCATGAGGAAGCCAACAAAACCAAAGAGCAGTGGAAGAAAGGAACAAACAAAAAAATGGAAAAGGACCAAACAGGTAAGTCTTCAAGTGCTTAGTTCTTGTTTTTGTCTCTCAGTTTTCACTCATGTTGAATTTCATTCATGACTTCATATGATGCTTGAAGATCCAGGAACTCTAGCCACCCATTACAATCTTGATGTTATCTGAAATACCTCGAAATAGTAGTTCTGACTAAGTTTTGAGTTCAAGAGTAAAATTTATAAATGTTTTCACGGCTATTTTGTCTTTATTACTTTGAAGGAAAGGCCCTTTGTTTAAAAAAAAGCACTTTCTTTTTGGGGGAACAATATACTACCTCAAGTGACTCTTAGGTGCTTGCATTTCTTTATTTTCTTTACTTAATTCCCTCTACTAATCTCCTCCTATAGCATGCATGCTTTTTTATTTAGCAGCACCTTCTAACCACCTGCATGGCACTTTCATGATGTGTAATCAGTAGTGCAGTCCGGGCTCCATAACAGTAAAAAAATATTTGTCATTGGAAAGAAAAAGTCTTTTTGCCCAAGATTAATCATGAGCTCTTGTCATGTAGTAAAGCACAGCAGACTATTAGAAGTTTTCTTGTGATAAAAATACTTTCCATTAGCTTAAGAGTTAAAAACAACTCCTCTGTATGAAAGGAACATAGTACCAGCATACTCTGTGGGTGGAGGAACAAATGGACACGCTGAAAGGCAGTGCTGCAAATGTGTTGAGATCCCTTAAGATGTAGGAGTCATACCCTTCTATTAAAATCCTGTATGTCCACAAGCATTGGACAGAGTTCAGGTTGATTTTGAACTTGAATCCTGAGAGAATTCAGTGAAACTGTTTGCAGGCGGTGATACCTTGAACTGGAATAAAGAAGTTGCCATAACGGGGGATGTTAAGGATTCGTTTTAACTGTAGCTGAAATATCAAGGAAGCAAAGAAGGACTTAAAAGTTACCTTGATACTTTTGGGTGAGATGAACACATGGTGTAGAAAAACTTTCACATCAGGCTTTTGTGAAACCCTGTGATAGTCATGGTTACATATTTGAATAAAGAATATTTGCAATGAAAGACTTACTACAAGCTGGATGTTGTTAGAAAGAAAGCTACTCCCAGATTTTCCTGTGTAGAAAAGCATAAAACACTGGAATACGATTTTGTCCATCAGTCAAATGGAGTCATAAAGAGCTTATGAGAATAGCTGCACTCCATATGGGAGCATGTGTTTGGTTTTTTTATAAAGAGAAATCCTAGTTCTTTAGGTTGGTACTTGCTCTGCCCTTTAAAAACTGAACTGCTGCATTTTGCTGAACTTCTACTATCCTTATCAAGTATCAAAATTACAAATAATAAGCTTGGTAGCAATTCATTTGCTACATCCTAATTCTTTATCTCCTTACTCTGTGAGTCTRTGTGATTATATCCTTATTTTTTTCACTGAATTCTCATTGGAATTAAGTTCAAACTGATTTAGAGCAAGTCCTAAATAGATATAACTGCTAAAACATTACGTTTTAGCATCTTCTTAGCCTGTAAATATTGTGGGGTTTGCTTTATAAACCTGTAATTTTGAATAAAATGGAATGTCAATTCTGACTTAAACCTAGAGTGACATTCCACAGTAATTTACTCAAAATTCACTTGGTTGTCATAGCAAAGCAGAACACATGCTCTTTATAGTAGTGGAGAAAAGGATCAACTTTACTGCTTTGAATTCACTAAATGCAACTACTTTAATTTTGTGCGTTGACAATGGCACCATGGATATGTTTACTGTTCAAATATTTATCACAGTTACTGTTAAACATTGTATATTTTATAGATTAACTGTCTTAGCTTGCCTCTATAAATATTCATTAGAATTGAAAATAAGTGAGGATACATGGAAAATTACCTCTACTAGTTAAAGCTTCAGAAACTACCAAAAATTGCCTGACTGGGTGACAGAATAAACAATGCTTATTGCTGCCCATGCACTATTTTCTCAGTGCTTGGCATAAAATAAGCATTAGTCTTAGTATCAGTAGGCTGGCAAAACTTGGAGAGAACCAGGAATCCGTGTAAATCTGTTCACCAAACACTTTATTTTATATAAGAGCAGCTGTGGGAGGAGGCTAGAGAGATGGGATTCTCTGAAGCTGCAGCCACRCGAGTCTGTGCTTTCTCTGAGCTTCGCATCAAGATCAGAAAAAGAACATTTGTAGTGTTCGAGTCAATGATCAGCAATACAGACATTCTTTGGTGCTGCTTCTGCCACAGTTCTGCTTTCTGCTGTACTGTTTTTCCCTCCCCTTAAATTTTAAAGGTTCCAAGGTACTGAACGGAGGGTCTGAAACTCAAGACACCGGTCAAGCCCAGCACAACGGAGAGAACACTGAGGAAAAGAAAGATAAGCACGAAGTTGGCAATAAGAAAAAGTGAGTTAACTACTGAACAAGAACCCGTTCTGCTATAGCTACGTAATTTAAATAAAACATCCACGGAGTTAAATTGCTTCACCATGTTTAGTTACTGTTTTCTTTACAAGGTTTTATCTCAGCTTTACAGACTAGTAAAAGTATGTTCTTTTTGCTCACCTTCTGAATGAATTTAAAAATCATAGCTTCTAAATGATGGTTTGTTAGGAGGGAAAACAGCTTGGAGTGAGACAGAGTAACGCACTTCCTATATTTTGGATTACTCGTCGTTAAGTTGGAAGCAAAGGATGTCTGAACCAAACTGGGCAGACAGTAACAGGATTTATGAAGTTTTTTCAAAATAATTTATCCAAATTAATGACAGAGTCATGTACTCTGATCAGTCTTCTGTAACGCAGCTATAGAATTGTCCAGATGCAAGCAAGCTCCACGCCAGAACTTAATGTGTCGGAAGTTTCAAAACTCCTAAATGTGACAGTTTTAGGGAAGTTCACACACTTGGTGTTTCCAGTCAAAATAGGCCTAAGAACAGTTGGAGGTTTTGCACCTAGCCCTACTGTAAAAGCAACTCTGACTCCCTCTCCTCTGCATTATAAGCTAGTAGTTTGTAAAGAGGAAAGAGAAACCAACCTCTGTTGTGGAAGATAAAGAAGGCTTAACAGAATTTTGTAAAAAAATAAAGTAGGGACCTMGAATCAACCTTAAGCTTAACCTTATTATGATGGATTTTTCTTGTCCATCAGTATCTGCTGAAGAAAGCTTTCCTTTCGTCACTGTGTTTGTACTTCCAAAACCAGACTTAAGCAACGTGCAGTTGCCCAGTATGCTTTCCGCAAGTTAGCACTGTTCAAATCAGTGGAATATTGACTATTCCTTAAAAGAGGGTAAAGTTACTTTTTATTTTTCAGAGGAGTATAAATTTTATTATAGAGAATTATACTTTTTATTGTAGAGGAGTATAAATTTGTTTTTTTGCTGAAAGGTAGCATTAGAATGACCGTTTCTGATTGCAGAGCTCTCAGAAGTGAAACGTGGGAGTCTGCAGCTGGTGATGAGAAGGTTGAATCCTCAGTGAGCCTGAATGAGTGTCATGTTAAAGGCTTACAGATAAGGCAAAAGCATAGGTGCTGAACCCAAATTGTGTGACATAGCACCCTGCTTGAAAGGATATCTTGGCCCAAATACAACATGGTATTAATGCAATGCAACACCCAAGTTACTAAAATTAGTAACAAAACACTTCAGTAGTGAAATATTTGGTGAACCATTTGAAAATAAATGACTATTTAAGAACATGCTCCTCCAAGATAAAAATTTTCATGGCCTGTTCCCTCCCCTGTGTCTGCAGAATCTGACAACAGTTGGATTTTGTAGTGGCAGAGGGGCACATTCGGTCAGCTTGCCTTTATATTTGCAATTAAAAGAATCAGAATATTTGAGTGCATACCTAATAATACAGAAGATATTGGTCAAAAACTCAGGGCAAACACTTCATTTACTTGCAYATCATGCTGTGGAGCAGGCTCTTTAACGCTCTTTAATAAGTGTCTCAAAAGCAACTTGTAAATAAGTCTCTTTCTGTGATTTTAAATGTCAGTAATTACGTGCAGCTGTAAAGCTTGCTGGTCTGCTTCCAGCACCCATGAAGGAGCTGCTGGGGGTGGCAAGTGCTGCTAGTAAACATGTATCTCTTCAAATGGGTGTGGTGTTTGCATTGGCTTGAACCTATGTCTCCTAACACATTCCTTGGCTTATCTAAGCAGAGATCAGTCTAGTTTGTGTTAACTCTTGGATGTCTTTGAGAGCARTTTTTTTGCACTTAACTTTACATCTGTTATCAACCAGTACATACAGAGCAGAGCTGTTTTGCTCATTCAGCCATCATTTGTACTCCCTCTCGCTAAATCCTTTGCATGTTGAGAAATGCATGCATATACCTGTGCTATCCTCAGCAAGCCCAGTCTGATATCTCTTCCCATATAAATTTATTGTTTTTCATAAATTTTTATTTGCAGCATTAAATTGATTAAAGGAGAGATTTTGTTAGGCAAAATAAATGTGAGCAAATTGTGAACAAAARCGTTAGAACAGTTTCCCCATTGCATCTAAGTGAATGATCTGTGAATTTCTTTCCAAATCACACAGTTGTCTCAGTTCTGAACTGTAAGTACCATGTTACCTCGATTGATTGCCTTGAGCAGTGACATACCTTTGTGAAGATGTAATCACTTGATAATTTTGGAAGGTGAATGTTAAACATGCACATCTGTTATGTAGAGAAGGTAATAATAGAGAGGGTGCTTTCTCCATGGTCTGTGTGCGTTTGGCGGCAGAGTAGGGCGCAGCGGTGAGCGGGAGGCAGAGGGGCCCCTCGCGGCCTCTCGCTCGCCGGCCGGTGCCACCTTAGCGGGAGCCGCCTCCTCCTCCTCCTCCTCCTCCTCCTCGCGCAGGGGCTGCCGAGCCTGCACGGCACCAATCCCATTGCCTGCAGCCAGGCTCGCTCGCACGGCCGCTAACCTTGCTCTGTTGCGTTCCTAGGGCTTCTGGAGAAGAGAGGGAGCTTGAGAAACCGTCAAAGGAGTCTGCCTTTGAAAGCAAATGACACAACTGGAGAGGTTCTTTTTTAATAAGATAAAAGAAGATTGCTAAGTTTTGCATTTGAAATCTATAGACTGCTGAAAGTTTTAAATAATTTTATAAGCATAGTATTTTAATGTTAAATTTTGTGGAATAAAAGCCCCTTTAATCTTGGTTTTAAAAGTACTTAAACACTTTGGCCATTAGTTTCATCCAGTATTAACAGGTAACACATTTCATGACATGAAGACAAGATTCCATTTAGAAAACAAATGCTTATATGTTGCGTTGACTTAGAGTTGTAGTATATTTTTATCTGACTGCTGTATGTTTGTCTAGTTAATAGCAGGAAAAAGTGTTAAATACTTTTAACTGCCTAATTGCTTCATTTGTATAAAACCTCCTCTCATTCTATAATACTGAGCTGTTTGTGCATAGTTTTTCAACACTTGTCAGGATGTCTTTTCACTGTGTTTTGTAGGAGTTGAAAGCAGCATTTTTATAGTTAATATGTTAATGTATGAGTATACTTGATTACTTTTTTAAAGAAGTTTAGTCCTGTTCTTGCAAAACTTATTGTGCCAATTTACTGCTATGTGACTTTTCATGGCTTGCTTTTCGTATAGTAAATATACTAGGAAGAACTCTGGTGTTTTCACTGAACCTGTTGATACACATTGGTTGGAAAACACTGTCTTGAACAGTTTCAAAATTAAGAATTTAAACTGATGTAAGGAAAATTGGCTTTTAATAAGTTGCATAAGTGAACACATTTGTATGGACAATAAATGTCTGGTTTTAAGTTTCAGCCTTGAAAGGAAAGCTTGGCCATGGCATTAACTTGGGGATTTTTAACTAAATAACTTTGGGGATTAGTGACTTGGGGATCTTGACAGAAAAAGTGATGAGAGCTTTAAGAGAAGTTTCTCAAAGGCATGAAAGGCATGAGATGATAGGCACGAGCTGAACCGAACCGTTTCTCATGCCACATGCCTTGCCTGAGCATCACACCTAGCAGAAAGCTGCATGTGACTAGCAAGTAGCGTTTGACAGTAGCTAGCCAGGGTAGAAGTAGTTGCCTTGTTGGGTGTCACCCCGAGGGCGGCAGCACAAAAGCAGCCGGCTCTGACTGCAGAGGGTGATGGTGCCTGCGCGGGGCTGCCCCAAGGGCAGGCTGCTGCAGAGCGTGTGCAGCCCCTCGGCCCGGCGCGGGCAGGAAGGGCGAGGACTCTGCTTACCCTGCAGCGGCGCGGGCAGACCAACGTGGGTGGCGTCCAAAGCCTCTTACTCCATTCCCGACGTTTCCCGACGTTTCTGTGGGACAGATGGGTGCAGGCGGCAGTGGCCTCAGCTRAGATGGGTCCTGAGCTGCTCCCGAGCAGCAGCCACCCCCTCCCAGGGGGAGGCAGCAGTTCTGGTGCTGCCGCTCTCACGGAGCAGCCAGGGGAACTGCAGTTCCTTCGGAGCTGCTCTCAGCCTTCCCTCTTGTCCAGAAGCTGAAGGTGGCATTTATAGTGAGAAGGGGATTTTGTAGCTCGTTTGGGAGTTTGTTTGTTTCTTGKTTTTTTTTAACTGAACTCCATCTGTACATATTCTGAAATAACTTCTGCTCSTCATTAAGAAGGGAGGAAAAGACACTGTCCTAGCACTGTCCATGTGCTTCCTAGCACTGTCCAAGAGCAGGCTAGAAAAGCAAACCACATGCCCGTTTCATTTCAGAGTTAGAGCCCGGCTTCTCCTCCTCTCCACCAATGCACTCAAAGCAACCAGAGCTGCACAGGGAAGGAGGAGAGCGCCCAAGAGGTCTGATACTGATGTTTAAGGTACAGCAGCTCTGACTCTACCTAAAAATGCTGTTCTTGGACAAGGACTGGTTCTTTAGTCGCCTTTGCTGTCGCGGGGTGGTGTCTAACACGGCCGCCCTGGCCGTGGAGYTCGCTGCACACCTGCTGGAGACCAGCTCCCTGGGCCGAGCGCCTTCCTTTCTGTGTACACAAGGATGCTGTGTACCCCGGCCCCTCCAGAGCGCCCCGCCGCCAGCTTCTCCGTGCACTGCTCCGTATGTGGGGATAGAGGCCAAGGTCTGTGACGTGTCTGCACCAGCGGTGCCGCCACCCTGCGAGCTCCGTGTCCCGTCCTCACCGCCCAGCTAACCAAAGAGGGAAAGAGCAAGGAAGAGCATCCGGGAGAGGCTTCCAGCTCCATCGAGAAGCATGCTCTTAAATCACCTTTTGTACAAAATATACTGTGGCATAAAGAAATAAAGACACACCTTGTATGCAAAGACCTGCTGTTTGAATGCATGGGTTTGTGTGTTCAGGAGGGCCCGTGGCCCTCCCTTACCACATGCCAGCTGACACGCTCTCTTCACGGTGCTTCATGGGTCCCTGGGGCTCAGCTGAGCATGGGTGCAGGCAGACACCACAGGAAGCTACAGCTGGGACAGTCACCGGACAAACAGCTTGCAAAGGGAGTATCCCATGCGGGAAACCAGGGAGACCCCCGGGGGCAGGTGGATGCAGGGCTGGACTGATCTCTTCCTGCACATGCACTGTGATCCACAGATTCACACAGAATATTTCAGGTTGGAAGGGACCTCTACAGATCATCTAGTCCAACCTTCCTGCTCAAGCAGGCACACCTACAGCATGTGGCACAGGGTGGCATCCAGGCGGGTT